TTTATATCTTTAGTCTATACGGAGTATTCTAGTTCAGAGTCTGATTTTTCTTCAAAAACTGTTAGATGTCTATTCATTTTCAATTTTGAGTAACTAAAACTAGTAGAAGTTCACTTTGTGTATACATTTGATCAATTTCCTTAGATAGTAAATGAACAGGCAATGATGGCTTGGAAAACTAAAATGTAGGCTTTAATTTATTGGGTAAGACATAGATCATGTCTCTTTATTAGGTTAGTTGGTATTGTCTTCTTCCTCTTATAGGTGCACTGTGAAAAAGTAGAAGGGGTTGAAAACATTACCTGAACCATAGGTCCGTCCCTAGGCATTGTTACATTGCTGTCAGTCTATTTCAAATAAATGTGTGTTAACATATCCTAAGAGCCTTTTTTTACTTGGACTATTAAGTGTGGAGTTTTTGGAAGTGTAAAGAGATACAAATTTGGATTTTCAGGGGATATTTTGAAAATCTGATGTGATTCAGATTTGAGTCTCACTTTATTATATAATTTGATTTTGGCAAATAATAATAATAATAATAAGAAAAGAGAAATAAGTTAATTTGGCCTGTTGCTTGTTTAAATTGTAGAGCTAAGTTAAGTTTAAAAAGAAGGGGGAAAAAAAAAAAAACCTCCCCAATGCTATTATCACTTATTTTAGAGGAGCATCCAATACAAAGCCAAAAAAAAAAAAAAAAAAGGCACTCAGAAGTTAATGACAAGTTTTGTCTTATCTGAGAAGTTAGGAAGATTTTATGTTCGAGTCTTGCACCCTCTCTATTTTTTATTTTTATTTTTATTTTGTTGTTTATAGTTATATATGTCAAATATAACGATACTAACTAGTTAAGGGCTCAAACTGAAGAATCAAGAACTTGACAGGAAGAAACATTAATACAACATGGCATGATATACATCTGATTTCCACATGCTTCCATACCCCTGCTATAGCACTGGGGGGCAAACATGATATCCAAGGACCACATTACAGTTAATATAACTCGGTTTTCGGGTAAGAATTTAATGACTTGTATTACAGACAAAAGCAATAGAAAAGTAAACATGTTTCGTACAAAGAACAGAATTATTTGCATAGCTCCGCCAAAAATTTATGTGTGCGGTGAAAATTTGGTTTAGCCCCCAAACCCTAAAAGAAAAAGTAGATAAAAAGATCTACACAAAACCATCTTTTGGGTCAAAATTGAATTGCAACGGTGACCTCGACGAAAACAAAAATCGGGCCACATCTTGGCACATTAATACAACAGGGCATACTATATACTGTATCTGATTTCCACATGCTTCTATACCTCTGCCATGGCTATGGGTGGCAAACAAAAATATCCAAGGGCGACAGTACAATTAATATAAATAACTCTGTTTTCAAGTAGGAATTTATTGACCCAGGTGATGGATCTCGAATGGTAGCATTACTATTATACACTTACGCCAATTTCATACATGAACCTGCATATTTATATGAGAAATTGAAAAATACATTTTAATGGGAATGTTCTATTCCTGCATATCTAAATGTGGATTATATAACTTTATTGCTGTTTGAAGATTTGAAGTCAAGAGTAAGCTCTCATCTTTAATAGTTAATAGCTAGCAACTTATAACACTGGCGTGAATCTCAGTGATAAATTAAAGTGATTGAATCGGTATCCTGCAGACAACTTAATTTTGGGACCACGGTGATGAGTACGTGTAGGGTCGAATTGTACTCCTTAGAGCAAGCTTATTAATTGCTTTATATGTATATACATACATATACATACACGCACATATATGCACGAAATATTGATGTTATGTATCAATATACCAAACAGAGCATCATAAAAAACATCACGTGAGAGTTAAAGTAAAATGAGGAAGATCTATGAATTTAATTGAATACTGTCATTACACTATGAGTCTACTGACTCTACTGTAATGGGTGTGACTAGAGAGGAGAGGACATAAAAACAGAGATGAACTCATGAATGGTGCCTCAAGAGACCAAGACATGCCCAATGAAGGGGATGATGTGCTTGCTTATTAGTCCCCAGCACCCCCAGCATGTTTCTAGAGCTAGGGTCAATTAATGTGTGTGTGTGTGTGTGTGTGTGTATGTGGTGGGGGGACCAGCACGGCTCTAGCTCACTTGCTTCATTACTTAAGAGATGTCAATTGTCAAACTACTCAGGGAGGTTAATATTGGTAGGGACTAGGGTTCGGAAATGGATTCCCTTATGTGAAGGAGAGGTCCCAGTATTTAATCAAATGGTTATCATGGTGTCATTTTACCAACATTTAATGAGGGATTTGTGTCCCTAGGGTTTGTGCCATAACTTGCAAACTAACATCTTAGGGTGATTTAATCACTATTATGGTAAATTCAGCTAACTAATGTGCTTTTAATTCTTAAATTTCACAATTGGTTCGATTTTTCCTAGTTAATATTCACACATCTATCCCTCAAAAAATTGTTTGCATTTAAGATGATTTGAACCTTAAATTGGAGACTATCTAAGTCACTACAGCCAAATTCTTACCCCACTTAAAAATTAATTTAATTTTACCTTCGAACTAACTTACCTAAAAAAGTCTTACAAGACCCATTTCTTTGGGCCTAAACGGGAGAAGGTTGACAAGAATATCTGTGAACCACTTCCAAATTAGCCGCCAGTTAAATAATATATGGTGGCTTGTTTTGGACTTGTTTTGTTGTTTCGAGTCCTGACTGATATCATAATTAATCTAAGCACAAATGGTTTGCCTATATTCTTTGACATTAACTACATATGTCAGCCATATTTTTGGGATGGTGAGCTCTGACATTTTCCTTTTACATTTTGCTGTTTTACAGGTTTGGCCAAACATATTTTAACGGTCAGCCAGTGTAATCTTTCCTTCCAGTTTTCCAGAATTCAAGTTTTAACTTCAAAATTCTCACCCAACAATTCCCCTACCACAATCAAATTCCATTAAGAATATGCCTTTGGTATTTCCCCCACATTTAAATTTTCTACGATATACAATTATTCAATGACCTAATTGATAGATTGTTCAACTTTCCAAACCCGCGCATCTGTGTTCGAATCCCTAGTGTATACAACTTGAAGAATTTATGTGGTATTTATTTATTGGTCTAGATAGTTCAATTGGAAATTATATACAGACGTGATTATTAAATAACGTATTTGGAGATCTTCAACATAAAATTTACATTTATTCTAAATGAACAAAAAAATAAAAAATAAAATAATTATTCCAGCATTTCTAGAATTGCCTGGGTTTATTAAATAAATCCGGCCAACATTATGTCAGTATAATTACCATGTAGAAGTAATTAAAAATTTAGAAGAATAACAATGAAATAAGTTTATTGTCCCTGTGGCTTGTATTGAAATAAAGAAAAATAAAAGGACCTATTAGCAAAGAAGTAATAGAAACTGACTCACTTGTAAATAATTTATTCTCTAGTAATTCCTTATAAGTATGTTGATGGGAGAAATTTGAAATTTTAGATTTTTTCTCTATTTATTAGGGGATAAATACGAAATAAGAATTTGATAAGAACTGAGAGTACTAATTTGTTTGCGATTGGAGAACTAGTGGGCCTATAACTAAATTGTTGGGTCCTGTAATATATGTTGAAAGTCAGATTCTCCGTACCAAACGGATTGAAAGAAAACTCAAAGGTGGGGAGGCAGAACCTTTGGACGCCGAAGTGAGAGTTGAAACGAAATCCATAAGCTACAACTCGTTTAAGGTATGTTTCTACTGATTCCATAAAAATTATGTGATTGAGCTTCATATATTTAATTAAATATTGTTTTGGTATGTTTAAATAATAATAATATAACAACTGAGGTTAGAACAAATTGAAATGCTTGTTATTTTTGGAATCCAATATTAAAATCTAACAAAAATAATTTATTTATTAATTTTAGGCAAGTTATTTTACATGCTCTCACCCAATAAACTCACCTCAACATCAACATAAACTTTTGCCAAATTCCAAAAAAATAAGAAGTATGTTTTGAATAAAAAAATAGAAAAACATCTCTTATATATATATATGTTGAATTAAAAAAACAATTGATATCTAATTTTCTAATTCTACGAAAAAAAAATTTAAAAAAAATTGAAAAACATCTCTTAGTAAATGGAAGAATGATCAGTCTGCCATATTTAAAATTTTTGAAGAATTAAAAATTTTTAAAGTTGAGGGGGGAAATTTTTAAAGTTGAAGGGGTGCAATTTTAAAGAATTAAACATACACAACTAATTTTTTTGAAGAATTGTACATACAAAACTAATTTTTTGGAAGAATTATACATACAAAAGTAAATTTTTGAAAATTTAAAATTTTAAAGAATTATACATACAAAAATAAAACTTTTTAAAGTTAAGGGACAATTTTAAAATTTTAAAAAATTATGCATACAAAAATATAATTGTTTTAAAAATTGAGATGGGGCACTTAGCCTAAAGTACGAGGTGCAATTTTGACGAATTATATATATATACACAAAAGTAAAAAAAATTAAAGTTGAGGAATTGAATTTTTTTTTAATTGTGGGGTAAAATTTTAAAGAATTATAAAAGTAAAAAAATTTGAGGGGGAAATTTTAAAATTTTAAAAAATTATAAATGCAAAAATAAAATTTTTTAAAGTCCAGAGACAATTTTAAAAAATCATGTATACAAAAACATAATATTTTAAAAATTGAGGTGGGGGCACTGAGCTAAATTCTTCCTGGTCGGCAATCTATTTTCTTTTATTCAATTCTTTTATTCTCTAATGTAATTTCCGGACTAACTTGAGGATATCTTCTTTCCTTTTTTAAAATGAAAGATAGCGAATTCAAGTCTCCTAAGAATATTGTGAGTATTATTTTTATATAAAAGTTTCTGTAATTTTTTTTTTTTTTTTTTTTTTTTTATGTAATTCCTTTTTATGTAATTCCTTTTTGTACTTTCTTTCCTAGTTTTTCTAGGGTATTTTCAGTCATGGATTATAAGGATGTAGATTTGGTTCTTGGAGGGACCTCTCGAGAGACTATTGCAAGCAGAAAGTTGTTTGTTGGAGGGGTTTCCCAGGAGACAACTGGAGAAACCTTAAAAGAATACTTCAGTAAGTATGGACAAGTGAGAGAGTATGAGATTATCAAAGACAGAAACACAGGTAGTGGAAGAGGGTTTGGTTTTATCAGCTTCACAGATCCATTTGTTGTTGATGGAGTTCTTCAGGATGAGCACATCATTCTGGGAAAAATGGTAAAGACCATTAATCATCTCTTATTTTTTCTCTTCATTATATCAACAATTTTAATTTCTTGTTACTACTGCATCATTGATTTTTCCCTCCTTAATTTTATGATATATATATATATATATATATATATATATTATCCCTTGTCAAATTTTTTCAGTCACTATAATCCCTTATGATTCTGAATTGAGACCGTCACATGAATTTAGAATTAGGTTGCAAAACGCTTTCTCTTATATAAATTATGTGTATAATGTATTTCTTATTCATAAAATTTAAAATATGTACAAATAAATCACTTTTTAACACAAAATATATATATATATATATATATATATATAAAAATTCAATTGGACCCTTTGTGTTCTTATTTTACCAAGCAGTAATGGAATGTTTGACCTCACTAAATTCAGCGAAAAGTCTTTTGTACCCTTATCTAATTTAACAAAATTTTAATAAAAAAAAATTTATGCCAAACCAAAAGACCATATTACCCCATTTGCTAATACTCCCTTTCGCATAATTCTATTTTTTGGTGAAAAAAAAAAAAAAAAAAAAATCTATTTTATTTCTCCCTTTTTGTTCTCTCGTTTCACACTTTCGCCGCCGCCTCCTCCCGCCACCGTTGCCGCCTCCACTAGCCACCAAAACCGCTGCCGTTGTCACCACCAGCACCTCGATAGTAGTCGTTGCCGTTGTCGTCACCACCACTCCCACACCCCTCTCGCTCAAGCTCCTCCCATCGCCACCTCCTTCCATCACCGTCACCACCACGGCAACCGCGACCCCTCTTCTCTCCTCTCCTGTATATTTCTCGCCTCTCTCTCAACGGTATATTCAAATACTGTGATTGAAACCCCAGACCCACAACATTTGAGATCTCAAATCTTCCAAAATATATATCCCTATCAACTGTGCCCTTTCGACCACTTTAGATCACTGCCATCTTCTTGTATCTCCCATCGTCACCCTAATTCTCTCCTTCCGTGTCAAAGATTCCATTGATGCCATACATAATCATACTTGCTTACATATATACACACACACCTATATGTCTTTTTGTTATATATTATCCGTTTAAATTTCATAAATAGAAAATGAATGTACGTACTCGTATTATTTCTTTGGGTGTTTGATCCGAAAGGAAGGAAATTGACGTATAGGGATTATTGTGATGGGGCTTTGATGATGGCAGTGAAGGGTGGAGTTGGTGGGGATTTTGGAGAGAGAAAGAAATGGAAGATGGAGGATTTTAGAGGTGAAAATTATGATTTTTTGGTATGCTTTGGGTATGATAATTTGTTATTTTTTTTGAGTTTGATCAATTTGCTAGGTGCTTTGTGTTTGATATATATTTTTTGTTGTTATGAGTCTCTCCCATCAATAGAAAGAACATGACCCATTCATGTGGGTCATAAATTGCATTGTATCACGGCCATGCACACAAACCACAAAACAAAACATAGAACATAGAGAACTGGAGTGTTGAACGTAAGGGGGTGTGTAATATAATTTATATATGCAATGATACACAATATTGTGGTAGGTCTTTTGAAATGATGAAAATTTGATAACAAAAGAAGTGAGAAAGATTAAGAATTTGAGAGAGAGAGAATGGGTTTATAACACAAAGTCAATTTTGTAATTTCGTCGCACAGTGTAAGGTTAGGAATATCTTTTTCAATAATGAGAAGGGCATTTTAGTCATTTAGTAAATTAGACAAAATGATTATTTTATATGGCCATTTTATAACATGGTCATTTTAAATTCCACAAGGCATATTGGAAGGTTAGGAATATTCTATTTAAATTGAACAAAATAATGATCATTTTACATTACTTATATTTGTAGGTATAAATTTATTTTATTTAAATTTATTCTATTTAAACGAGGATATTATGTCCTTTTAAATCTTCAAGAACTATTTACACCAAATCATAATATAAGAGTGTTTTACAGTATTGAGATACTAGTTTGCGCTGTATCATGAATTTACTCTTCTACAGGATTTATGGGTGAGAATTTATCAAAATGTTTGACATGAGTTCACATGAGGCAGAGCTAACCCCCACCTTTTTCATATGTTTTTGAATGGTGATTTTATATAGGTGGAGGTAAAAATGGCAAAGCCCAAAATTGATAGGCTTAAAGAACCCGATTATCTTCAACAGCAGCAAAGTAATAGGTTGAGCAAAACAAATTGTACTAAGATTTTTGTGGGGGGTTTGCCTCCAACATTAACGAAAGAGGATCTCAGAAGGTTTTTCCAGCGTTTTGGTACGATCATCGATGTGGTTGTGATACATAACAAAGAAACAAATAAACCTAGAGGCTTCGGGTTTATTGTTTTTGATTCGGAGGAAGCAGTGAACAATGTTCTGAAAAAGAGCTTTTATAAATTGAAAAACAAGGAAGTGGAGGTCAAGAGGGCTAAGCCTAAGGACATGATTGGTTGGCCTATATCCATTTATGATTGTAATAATACAGGTTTGGGTTTCGGAAATGGATCTTTCGGGTTTTATTCTCCTTCTGCTCCTTCTGGCGGTGTTAATTTAGGGTATTCTTATGGATTAAACTCTTACAATGGATTAGAGGCTCCTTTCATGGCCGGAGCTCCTTTTATGGGGTACAATGGAGTTGGCTATGAGACCTCATTTGCTAGTACAAGTTATAATCAGAGCCCAATTGGTTATGGAAGTACAGTCTCTTATCCCGCACAAACCAACAGTGAGGCGTATGGTTATGGTTATGGTTATGGTTGGTCTAGCGGGTTCATGGATATGAACAATGGGGCATATAGGTCTAGGGGAGTCATGGACATGAATGCTTCAACATCGGTCGTGAATACTAACTCAAGTGACAATGACAATGATGATGGTAATGAGGTTGAGGTTCTGGCTAGTACAAGGTTGTTGCAGATTGGTGATGGATCGAATTCGGAAGACAATGGTGCAGAACATCAGAACAAAGGGCGTTCTTGTGATTCTAGTTGATGGTTCCCATGGCTAGCTAATGGTTTTGTTCAGGTGGAATATACAAGTAACTCAATTCAATATTTTATTATATTAATTCTTTTACACTTCCTCGAGACATATTTGACAAATTGTCCATTACAGAACTCGACCACAATGCTAATGAGCCATTGATCGCATCTTTCCTTAGAATAATCTTGCAATTTTTAAATTTTTTTTTTTTTTTTCCTATTTACTCTGACGTCATAATTTTCATATATGTTTATGTATCACTTTGCCTTTGAAATTGTAATTATTAGAAGCTTATGTGACGTAAACTTGTTATATGATTATACTATATGATTATATATTGTGTATAGGGAGATATGAAGATAGGAGAGAGAACATTACTGTTCCGACAAAATCTGAATGAATAGAGTAAAATTACTTCTGGATTTGTGAAAGGGTGTGATTTATTTTACCAGTAATTATATTTTTTAAATTCTTTGCGTAACCAAATACTGAAAATTTTTGTAAAAGTTATTTTTCAAAAAATATTTTATGTGAATTATTTTATTTTGAATTAATGAAAATTTTATTAAGGTAAACCTTATTTTATCAAAGCATATTCAATTAGCTTGCAAAGGTCTCGACTCATGGATATGGTTCGTCTAGCATGGATGTGAGGCCATGGTGTGAGAGAATTGTCATAGAACTCCGAGATATGGTGATGAGGTTGAGGTTGAGGTTGTGACTAGTAAAAGGTTGTTGCAGATTCGTTATGGGAAGAATTTATTTTTGTCAGCAAGATCAATCTTTTAATTAAAATAAATTTAAAAAAAAATGTTATATACTGTGTATAAAGATATATGAATGCAGGAGAGATAAAGTTGCTGTTTAGACAATATTTGAGATTCACTAAATCCTGGGACTGCAAGTCATTTTTGTTGAAGGGTGTAATGTATTTTACCAGTTTTATTTTTCCAATTCTTTAGGTAATCAAATACTAAAAAAAAAAATGTAATAATTATTTTCCAAATTTTTTTAGGTGATTTATTTTATTTTCAATTCATGAAATCTTTATTAAGCTAAACCTTTTTATTAATTGCAGATTAAAGAGAGAGGACCGATGAAAAGTTTTAAGTCTGCACAAAAATAATGTGAGAACAGAAAAACTCAGATTTAAAGTACCTCACAAAAATAATATGCCCACGACAACAGTGTGAGCACAAAACGGTATAGATATGAAGAATCTACTTATATATGATATCCACAGAGAGAGAGAGGAAGTGCTGCAAATAAGTGTTGTTTTGAGTGGTTGAGAAGATGAGGCAGCCCTCGGCATCTAAGCTTTTAATACTTGTTTTTGTTCTCTCTGTCATCACCCTCTTCTTTACTTACATGGCAGCCGCCAGAGGCGGAGGTGGAGGCCGAGGAGGAGGCAGCAGCCGAGGAGGTGGCGGAGGCAGAAGTCGAGGTGGAGGAGGCAGGAGTCGAGGTGGAGGTGGTAGCCGAAGTGGAGGAAGCAGAGGCGGAGGAGGGGGTACAGTAATGCCAATTGGTGGAACCAGCCATCCTATACCCACAACTACTTGCATGGCACCCTTCGGTCTATATACTTGTTTGCTTCTCTTTGATTTCTATTGTTTGCTTCTCTTTGATTTCTAAATAGATTTTACTTCTTTACTCTTCTATGTAGTGTGTTCTTTTCTTGGCATGCTAATGACTTAATATAGCACATTAAGGGTCCGTTTGGATGGCGATAACGTTACATGTTATGGTTTGGTATGATATGAAAACAACCGTTTTGGTATTAGTATGTTTTTAGTAGAAATTGAATCCATATTTGGTAAGGATTGCTTTGTTTTTGATAATTGTATATCAGAAACATGATAACGCGTTTACTATTGTCATGCGTTTTAAGGAATCCGAAAACAAAACACGTTTGGGATTAGTGTTTTGTTATCAAAAATTCTTAATCAATAACAGAATACCTGTTTGGTAGTTTTTGTTTTGAAAAATTATATATATGAATACAATTATAAGTTTATATGTAAAATAATCCATTTTTCTTTATGATTTGAGATAATTTGTATTAAAAAAAAAAAAATCTGCATTAAAGTTGGAAAAAAAAATTATGAATAAATTTACATGTACAATGGCAACCCAACTACTTTGTAATAATGAATAAATCTGCAAAAACATGATTAATGGCAACTAAATTACAAATCTAACTTTGTAATAATCTTTCAATGAGAGCAGATCTTTGCACTCCATTTATCTTTTTCTTTTGGCTTGCATTCCATTTAACTTTGTTTTGTTTCATATATATATATATATTATAAATTCATGATGAATGAGAGAGAGAGAGAGAGAGAGATCTTTGTAGTTGAAACTAACAAGAAACAAAGCCAAAACGTTGATCGTCTTGAATTGGTTAGAGTTGAGATTTGGTGGACATTGAAGCTTGTGAATAGTTTTACTTCACTTAGATTAGTTTGAAATTTTGTAGTGGAGGTCCTTCAAATTGGTAATATTTTTTTTGTAAGATCTCAGGACCATTTCCCCTTTTCTTGAGTATTTATTTTGATAACAGACTTGTGAATATTTCATACAATATCCAACCATAAGCAGAATTGATAAATATGAATAAAGATTAAAAGCAAGCAATCAAGGAAGATCCCTCTTACAAGACTGAACAACATTCACATATATACTTCCACGTATAGTTTTGCTTTGTACATCACAATCTTAAGAACTCGAGTGTTACCCATTCACATATATACTTCCACATATAAGGAGCTAGACATTCCTTAAAAATAGTATGTGTGTACACACGCACTTCATTACACTTACATAAAATGCACACACAACTGGAGATCACTAATATTCATTCCATAAAATGTACACCTACTTCTTTATACTTGCATAGGCCTCCATTTGATTAACTTAGAGATCAGTAACTTTCTGGAGTTGCAGCAACTGGAGAATGCTTCCTATCAATCCCACTGGTGCCACTGCCTACAACTTACTGCCATGTCCTTCAATGTAGTAGCAAAAAATGAATTTGAATGTAAAACAAGACATTACCTATAGTAGCAAAATATAAAGCAAAGTTAAATTCAATTTTTTTTAAAAAAATCCGGCATGACTTCCCCTTAAAAATGGACATTTCCAAAATTTCAAAACACAATAAACACAAGAGACACCGCCCACAAAATTAATTCAATAAAGGACACCGCCCATAAAATTCATTTAACAAGGGACATGTAGTACCCCTAATTTTAAAAGGATAGTCTCGGTATTTATTTATTTTTTTTAATTGTATTTTTTAATTATTTAATTAATTATTTGACTAATTGCTTATGTGTTTAATTGAATTAGGTATTACTTGATTATTTGATTATGTGTCTATGTATTATTTGTATTTGTCTATGTGTTAATTGTTTAATTAGATTATATACTTAAATGATGTATTTGATTAATTGTAATTAATTGTAAATTAAATGATTAAATGTTTTATTTTATGGTTATGGTTAGTGGTAATGGGCTAACTAAGTGGGTCCCATGGACTACTTGGATATGAGGTTGGATGGGTACGGATAATTACCCATGAATAGTTATATATGTATATACATATATTTTATACGTAACATGTTTTAAGTTACCTTTTTAATATTATGGTAACTTTAGTATAAATAAATAATCTGATGTATATATTTTATTTATTTAATGAAGATACAAATAGATTATATACGTAACATGTTTTAAGTTACATTTTAATATTATGGTAACTTTAGTATAAATAAATAATCTGATGTATATATTTAATTTATTTAATGAGGATATAGATAGATTATATACGTAATATGTTTTAAGTTACCTTTTAATATTATGGTAACTTTAGTATTAATAAATAATTTGATGTATATATTTTATTTAATTAATAAGGATATACATAGATTATATACGTAACATATTTTAAGTTAGCTTTTTAATATTTTCATTTTTTATTTTTCTTTATTAAGTTGACTTGGATTAGGAAAATGAATAGGGTTATTATTTAGCCTATAAATACACAACTATAGGTTGAAAAAGGAGTGAAAATATATCACGTAATATATTCTATAGAGAAAGAGTTAGAGAGAGAAGGAGAAAGATGAAAGAAGGAGGAGAAAACCCTGTAGAGAGAAGATCAAGGAAGAAGAAGTTTAACTTTCGATTCGAAAGTTTAAGGCAAGTTCTTTTTCTATCTCTTTCCCTTTGATTCGTGTTTCTGTACATGCCTAGGAAATTCTAGAATTTATTAAACACATAAAATTAAATAATTATGCATGTTTAATTGGGTTAGAACATAGGTTTTATGAAATTGGTTCATATCTGTTCTTGTGTTATGAATTGATAAAATGCATGATTTTGATTTGATTTCTTATGTGAATTTTTACATGTTTAAATTACGTATTTTTTATATCTGTGGAATGATGGAATGCAGAAACATGCCTAGGATTCCTAAACATTAAATAGGAACTAGGTTTGGGTTTTAATAAATTTAAATAGACTCAATCATAATGATGCTTGCTATTTGAATGTTTTAAACAAACGAATGGATTTAATCTTTTAAAATATTTTAGCAATTGAGATTAAATGTGTAGGATGAATTGGATATAGAGAATCCTTATTTAACGGTATAATAAAATATCATCATGTATAAGATTCAGTTTGTGTAGGACATATGATATATGAAGTTTAAAGAAATAATAAGTCATTCCTATTATGTGATAACTTGATATCATATTTATCATAGTTATTTATGGAATGTTTGATGTATTTCCTTAATTGTTACATCAATTATTGGATTGTGTGGTTTAATGCACCGGTATGGGACGGTGGCATTCTAGGGATGGATTAACTTATCAGTTAAGTCCTACCTATTTTATATAAGTGAATGGATTAACTAAAATGTTAAGTCCTACTTATATTTAAGTCAGGTCAGCTGAACAAGTTAAATGATTTATGGAGGATTAATTTATTATATAAGGGAA